CTGCCATATGGGTGCTGGGAACTGAACTCAGGTCCTCTACAATGACAGTCAGTGCTCTTAACCATGGAGCCATTTCTCCAACTCCAACATAAAACCACTTTTATTGTTTGAGAGTTCTGTTATATAGCCCAGGCTGGCCTTGAACTCTGGCTCCTGCTGCTGCCTCTGACTCCTGAGAGCCGAGATGACATGCCCCAAAGCACCTTGTGTGTGTGGTGACTATGCTAACGTGTGCCCACAGGGAGGCCAGAACAGGATGCTGTCATTTTCTGCCTTGTTGCCTTTAGACACCCAGGACCTACCTCTCACTAAACATGAAACTCACTGGCTGGTTAGCTCTTGGGAACTGCCTCCCCCCACCCCCCTCAAACACTAAGGTTACAAGACAGTCATGCATGGCTATGTCTGGCTTTTATATGGGTGCTAGAGATTTGAACTCAGGTCCTCATGCTTGCAGACCAAGTGCTCTTACCCACTGAGCCATCTTCCCAGCTGACCTCCCAGCACCTTTTTTTTTTTTATGTTGTACTCTCCTACCCCAAATAAGAAGTCAGATGGGTAGATGACTCAGCATGTGCTGTGGAAGCATGAGGCCCTGGTTAAATACCCAGCATCCCTGTAAAAAGCTAAAAATCTGGGGGTGTAGCACATGTGCCTATAATACTAGCATTGTGGGTGGGGGGTAGAGACAGGAGGATGGCTGGGGCCTAGCTCCAGGTTCAGTAAGAGACCCTGTCTCAAGGGAATAAGGCAGGGTGTGATAAAGTAGGACACCCAATGTCCTCCTCTAGCCTCCATGTGTGCATGGGCACATGCATGCATACACACACACACACACACACACACACACACACACACACATGCACGCCCACACACAGGGCAGGTAAGCAGGTACTATCTGCAGTCAGTTACACTTATGACAAAAAACTTTCCGCTGAGAGTTCTGCTATGCCTCCCTTCACTGTGCTTTATTAATTTTTTTTGATTTATATATTTCTATTTTAGATGTATGAGTGTTTTGCATATGTATGTAAGTGTACCTGTATCATGCAAAGCCCACAGAAGCTAGAAGAGGGTGTCAGATCTATTGGAATGGGCGTTATAGATGGTTGTTAGCTGCCATGTGGGTGCTTGGAATTGAGCCTGGGTCCTCTGGAAGAGCAGACAGTGCTCTTAACCACTGAACCACCTCTCCAGCCCCTCACTGTGCTTTAAAAGATCTTAAAATTACATTCATTTATCTATCTATTTATTTTATGTGTGTAGATGTTGGAAGTCAGAGACAATTTTTTTAAAAAAATTTATTTATTATTTTTATTTTATGTGTATATGTGTATTACCTGCTTGCAGCTAAGTGCATCCATGTCGTGCAATGCCCGTGGAGGACAGAAGAGGCTGTCGGATCCCCTGGAACTGGAGTTACGGACAGTTGTTAGCTGCCATGTGGGTGCTGGGATTTGAACCTGGGTCTTCTGCAAGAACAGCCAGTGTTCTTAACTGGCGAACCATTTCTCCAGTCCCAGAAGACAACTTTTAGAAGTCAGTTTTCTCCTTCTAACATGTGGGTCCCAGGGACTGACTCAGGTCATCAGGCTTGGTGGCAAACACCTTCATCTGCTGAGCCATGTCACCGGCCCCCTTTACTGTGCTTTAAAAGCTGAGGTGCAACATGGCAAGGTCATCTTCCCGTGTCACTGAGTCATAAGCAAGAGTGTAGCAGTGGACACCAGAATGTATGCAGTGCCCAAGGCAAGGAATACGCTGCCCCTCTCTGGAGAGGGCTGACCCCACACCTCATTCTCCTTGGAGGAGGCTATCATGATGGTCAGCAGACCCAGCCTCTTTTCCCCTTGTGTCTCAACTATAGCTGGAATGGAAAGATAATTCCATCCAGGAAAGTTACTCCTTGGTGGATGCAGTTCTCAGAGTGGAGGGACAGAAAGCAAAACTAACCGAAAAACCCAAGTTACTGGACCTCAGCCCATGGAAGGTTTCTGACACTGAGATTCAGGGGAGAGGTTGGGCAGGGAGGGGAACAGGGTACAGCCGTGCTCTGGGCATTGCTGAAGTTCTGACAATGTCCTCATGATGACTGTTCCACCTACTGTCTTACTGCTCTGATAAAATGCTACAGATATTTCTGTATAAGTAAATACACCCATGCACCTACCCCATGCACCTGCCCCTACAAACAGAAGTCATCCCAGACACACTTGCTTTCAGTTACCTTTGTCTTTAAATAAACACACAGATGACCTGAAGCCACTGCTGAAGCTTAAGATGATGAAAAACAGACACTACTGCCCCCCAGGACTGTCTTACCCTGACCACATGCCAAGCTATGTCTAGACCAGAAGCACTGGGGATGAATACGTTTTTGTTCTTCATTGCTGTGCCCCTAGCACATGGCAGTGTCTAACATGCACAGGTGTTCCATCTGTGCTCAGTGAATGAATGAACAAATGAACGAATGAATGAATACAGGGAGAAATAAGCAGACTGAAGTGTGAAGCCTCAACTTCTGGGTGACTACCAAGAAGATGTGGTCTTGGCCACATAGCCGCCTACTTGGGCTTATTTCCATGCCTGACACAGTACAAAGCTGACTTCCTATGCTAGGGATTCATTCCAGCTCTAAGGCACTGTATCCAGTGGACACACAGATGACATCTGACAAAAGAATTCTATGCTAACTTCCTAGATGGAGACAGTACCAAGCAATAGTTGGAAACAAGCTCTCTGGATGTTCACACTTCCTTCTTTGGCAAACTCCGTGACTACAGCAATTTCCATTCCAACTTCAGGTCTCAATCTCCTTTCCCAGGACTTGGGACTTCATGGGGGAAAGACCTCACCCTTGGTTCCATACTTAGATTTTAACTTCTACTCTGCCCCCAGTTGTTTCTTACGTTCTTGCCCTTATGAAAAGATTTCTTCCCCTAAGAAACTGCATCTTCTATTTTCCATTCTTTCCCCTTAATTACTCAAGTTAGTATAAGGAGGAATGTACAAATGGAAGAGGGTTAGTAAAATGTCTCTTTGGCTTGGCTTGGTGGAACATACCCACAGAACCCCAGAACTCAGGAGGCTGAGGCAGGAGGATTTTGAGTTTGAAGCTAATCTGGGTTACACAATGAGACTGTCTCAAAGGGAAAAGCCATTCTCATGTCCCTAGACAGTCCCCACAATTAGTGTATATAAGGTTGAAGCTGGGGCTGGGGAGATGGCTCAGTGGATAAAGAGCCTGTCGAGGAAGTGTGAGGACTGGTGTCCAGATTCCCTGAACTCCTGTAAATGCTGCCATCGGTGTGGTGGTATCTGTCATCCCAGTACATGGCGGGTAGAGACAGATCTTGGGAGCAGCTGGCTAACTAGACTAGCCTAATTAGCAGGCTATGGGTTCAAGTGAGAGACCCTAACTCAATATATAAAGTATAAAACGATTGAGGGAGACACCTGATGTCAACCTCTGGCCTCTATATGCATATGCACACACATCCCTGCACACGTGAACACACATACCAAAAAAAGAAAAAAAAAAGGTTGTAGAGAAAGAGGATACATGCACAGTCTCATATGTACTTTCAGATCCCTTGGAGGCGGAGTTCCAGGCATTTATGGGAAACCTGGCTTGTTACATGGGTGCTGGGATCTGAATCCCATTTCTCATGATTACACAGCAAATGTTCCTAACTGCTGAGCCATCTCACCAGCGCCTCCATCTTAAAAACAAACAAACAAAACAAACCCCAAAACAGGCTGCCCTTAAAACTCATAATCCTCCTGCTTCAGTCTTCTAGGTGTTGAGATGACATCCACTCTGTGTCACCTCATTCTGGTGATGAGCAGACACTGGACACACAGGGACATTCTACAAAGTGACTGCCCACTGGCTTCAGCTGTCCAGGTCATAATAGTCAAGGAAAGATGGAAGGAGAAAAAAAGGACAGGAAACTAAGCACAACAGGGAAGCCAGGGCTGATCCTGACAAATAAGTACGACGTCAGAGGAAGGATTAAGTTAAATTTCAGGAAGGACTGTGGCTTGATGAACAGCCTTGTACCAAAGTGAATATGCTAGCTTTGACTGTGTACTGTGGCTGGGAAAGATGTCACTGCAGGAACTGATCTGAAAGGATGGCACGTGGACTGTGGGCAGAACCTCTTAGATGAGGGGAAAAGCACAGCAACTCAAGGAGGAAGATGGGCAGAAGACAGGCTGTGCCCATGAGAGAAAACACAGAGTCAGCAGATGAACTTGAACTCAGGCAACTTTAAATATGCCCCACGAGATACAATTAAAACCTGAACACCTGGAATTCTCTCCTGCTGAGGGCAGCGTACCACCACCCACCCCAGAGAGAAGACTGTTTTAAGGGCCACTGCTCTCCGACAGTGAGCAAGGTCACTAAACAACCGAGGTCCCTGAGCTATGTGTCTGGACTATGGTAAGAACCCTTTGCCCTAGGTACCTGAGTGAAGTGTACTCCCTTTGAAGTCATTTAGATGGCTAAGCCTCTCCTGTGTGTTTTAATATTAAGGTTTAGGGGTTGGAGAAATGGCTCAGCAGTTAAGAGGGCTGGCTACTCTTGCAGAGGACTCTGGTTTGATTCCTAGCACCCACATTGTGGCTAACTACCCATTCGTAACTCCAGTTCCAGGGGAATCTGATGCCATCTTCTGACCTCCGCAGGCATTGTATGACATAGGGCACTTATGTACATGCAGGCAATACACTCATACACACAAAAAAATAAAAAATATTAAAAAAAATTAGGGTTTACAGCAAGATATACCTTGCCCGTTTATATGCTTTTTTTGGTAAACAACAAAGTTTGAGGATTTCCCTACATAACCTGGGCTGGCCTTGATCAATATCCTCCTGCCTCAGCCTCCTGAGTGAGTGCTGGGGTGATGGGTACGTTCCACCATGCCTGGCTGGGTCTTGAAGGAAATTCTCAAGGGCAGGTGGTCATGCAAGCAAGGCTGGAGGCTCCTTACCAGCTGGAACTCGCTCCTGCGGCTGAAGGCTTCCCTGATCCCGGAGTCTCTCCAGAGCGCACTCAGGGCTGGCACGTAGAGCTGGAAGGTGGCGGGCTCCACAGGCAGCCCTGCCTTGTTCTCGAAGGCCATCAGAAACATCCCATGCTTCTCATTCTCAGAGTGTTGCCAGGGAATGCCAAGCTTATCACGCGCATCCACGAGCACTCTCGAGCCCTGGAAGGAGGTGAGAGGAAAGGGGATTTAATTGACCTGAGACCACAGTGGATACCCTCAGTGCTGACTGCCACAAACTTGAAACTGCACATTGTCAAAGTCTGCAGCCATGTATCCTGGTTTGACCTGGCATGAGTGTCTCAATTCCTGGGATCACAGCTGTCCTAGTTAACTTTAACTGTCAACCTGACACAGCCTAGTCACCTGAGAGGAAACCTTCCATTGAGGAATTGCCTAGACTAGATTAGCCTGTGGGCATGTCTGTGGGGTTATTATTAATTGATGCAGGAGAGAACAGACCACTGTGGGTGGCACTTTCCCCTGGCAGGAAGTCCTGGGCTGTATAAGGAAGCTAGCTAAGCATAAGTGAGCCAGCAAGCAGCTTTTTGCCATGGTTTCTGTTTCAAGTTCCTAGTCTGACTTCCTTCAATGTTTGACAGTGACCTGGAAGTATAAGACAGACAATTCCTTTTCTTCCCTAAGTTGTTTTGGTCAGTGGTTTTTTTTTTGTTTGTTTGTTTTTTTGTTTGTTTTTTGTCTTTTTTTGAAACAGGGTCTCCCTGTAGCCCCAGCTGGCCTGGAACTCACTATGTAGACCAGGCTGGCCTTGAACTCACAGAGATCCGCCTGCCTCTGCCTCCTGAGTGCTGGGAGTGTACCATCACACCCAGCTTGGTCAGTGTTTTATCATAGCAATAGAAAGGAAATTAGGAAAAAAAAATTAGGACAGCTTGTAGAGAGAAGTAGAGACTCATGTACAGTACTCCCACTTTCCTGTGATGGCACTAGGAAGGCATAGTTGATGTGGAACAGAATGGCAGTGTGTTTCGCTAACCTCATTGGAAAAGAAGTCACAATGTAAGAACGTCAACCACAAAGCTGACTCCCAGTAGCATCAACTCCCACCATACCAAGATTTGGGATGGCTTGTCCCAACTTAACACAGGCAGGAAATCATACACTCAAGGGCAGTGGGCAGCCCCTACACAGAGGGACTGGGCTGATATGGTCTGAGTCTGCCCCACGAGGAGCCGAAGCCATGTCCCCACATAAAGTTATATTGTTTTCCATTCTTTCACTTATTTCCATGTCAAAAATATAGCGAGTGCTTTCCTGTCCTTTCTTCTCCTCACAGCCAGAGACAAGGGGATGGAGAAGAAGCTTAAACACAACTGTCAGGGAATGCCTGGCTGGAAAGAGCTGCATCTCAGTTGCTCCCAGATGCTGCTTCAAGATGGGTCAGGCAGAGTCAGGGAGATGTGGAGGCAGTGGGAAGCTCCACGGCTCTCCTGACAGTTATTGTAATTCAGAGTGGTCTTGAACTGAGTAGTCGAAGCTGGCCTTGGACTCCTGATCCTCCTGCCTCCACCTCATGAGTGCTGGGATGACGAGCATACACTATGATGTCTCACATATTTACCTTTAAAAAAAATTAAGTAACAGCCGTCTTATGATATTATGCATATGTTGACCAATCTGCCCACATAAAGTGTTTGGCTCCACGGTTGTAGTTGTCCCTTATCCTAAACTACTTCACCCAACCCCAAGGCAGGTCCTCATCAGTTATGCCTTCTTTAGAGCTCAGTTGCACTTTGGGCTGGTTCTTACAGCTTCCACTCCTGCCTATACCCCACTGGGTCAAATGGAGCAATGCCTCAGCCTTTCCTGCAGGACCAGCTGACAGCAGCACCTGGCAGAGGTGCCACTCCCTTGGAGGGCTGTGGTGGTCATACCACTCTATCATTTATTTCACCATTTGCCAACCGCATAACTGACAATCGACCTATGCTTAGAATACATAAACACTCTAACTTGGCCTGGTCAAATGGCTTTTGCAGGTAAAGGCACTTGCTGCCAAGCCTGATGACCTGAGTTCCATCCCTGAGATCCACATAGTGGAAAGAAGAAAACTGGCTCCCACAAGTTGTCTTGACTTCCACATGGCACCATGATGTGCACATACACACAGACACACATAGACAGACAGACACACACACAGTAAATGTAATAAGAACACTCGAACTTAACAGTTGAAATACTCAGAAATGTGTGCAGCCCCTGAAGAAGCTTCTGCAGTGAGCACACATAGACAGGTGAAGGATGCCCACGATGGTGACACATCAGGAAGGCAGAGCAAGCCCATTCAGGACACACCTACTGAACGCTGAGATTCAGGTGACAGCACTGAAGCGTAGAAGATGCAGACACAGCATCTCTCACACACTGGTGGCAGAATGTGAACTGTCCACAGTGCTGGAAGATATTCCAGCCACGTCTTAGAAAACAAAGCATGAGTTTACTACACAGCCTGGTGACCTCCCTTCTAAATGCACAGAGAAATGAAAACCTGTTCACAAAGACCTTTGGAAGAACATTTGCGTGTTACGAATGGTAGACCATGCCATGGAATACTACCCAGCGATTAAAAGGCACAAATGGTGAAGAGGGCAGGGCTCAGGGGTAGAGTGCTGGCTTAGGATGCAAGGCGCCCTGGTTCCAGCCTTGGTACTGTGAGGAAGAGAAAAATTCAGTCTGAAAAGATCACAGGCTACAGGACTCTGGTTATATAATATTCTTTCTTCCTGCCCTGACTCCCCTACACAATATTCTTGAAATGACACAAAAATGGACAGCATTCGGTGGTTGTGGGTTGGTGATGGGAGCAAAGGCTGGTGATGGACAGCACAGGATCTCTGTGGTCTGACTGGGGTAGAGCCCACACTGTACAGACCCATGTCTACGTCCTGACTTTGCTACTGTAATTATGTGCGGCCTCTGGGGCCTTCCCAGCTCCTCATTTTCTTTGACCTTACCACAATCTCCGGCCTTCCCCAAAGGGTAAAGTTGAAAGGTTTGAGAGCTCATCCCTACTTCCTATGTTATGCACAACACTTACCTGAGCATGCAAAGCCGCCCCTTTGTCCAAATGAGAAGGGACCTGCCTTGCTGTCGTTTTATTTTCTGAGATAGTATTTTGCTACACAGCCAAGGCTGACCTTGAACTCTCACAGTTCATCTTGCCTCTACCTCCCAAATGACAGCTACAAGGTACCTTGTCAGGTGTCCTTTTCACACAATAATTTAGCTTCGCGAGGAGTGTGGCCACCCATAAAGGAATATACAGCCCAAGTCAGGTCTAATGGCACAGATTTGTAATTCCAACACTTGATTAAGTTCAAGGCCAGCCTGGACAACACATGGAAACCCTGTCTCAAGAAGCAAAAAAATTTACAGCCCCTTAGAATGATTGTTTTTATGTAACAGAGACAAAGACTGGGGCTAAAACTGACTCAGAAACCTGTAGGTCATTACCAAGACTTTACTTGGTAAAGACAGGTCATTACCAAATCTTACCAAGACTGCTTCTAGCACTGAGAATCAGGCCTTCCCCAGTGCTGGTGGAGACTGGTTGAGCTTATAGCATACTTGCAGGGGCCCGTGAGATGGCCCAGATGGTAAGGGTGATTGCCACAAAGCCTAATGACCTGAGTTTGATCCCTGGGACCTTTATGGTGGAAGGAGAGAACTAATTCTTGCAAGCTGTCCAGTGACTTCCAAATGTGCTGTAGCACCCCCCTCCAAAAACATGCATGCATGCAGGTTTACACACACATGAATAAATGCAATAAAAATTACTTTAAAAGCACACTTGCAAAACTGGCTCTCCACTAGTACTGGTATCCCTCTCTATCCAAAGCCAGCAGTACAGTGGGGGTGGCTCCAGGTGGCTCCGCCCAGCCCCAGAGAGATCTCTGTGGTCTGTTTCTTTGTCAGAATCCTAGGCAGGTGGCAAAACTGCCGGAGAACTTTGAGTTCTAAAACTAGTCCAATTTCTGTATCCATTTCTCTTACTTGAAGGAAAAGGACATCAAGAAAAAAATGGTGCTTCTCTTTTGTTTATTTAAATTATTTTTTCAGGCTGGGGAGATGGCTCAGGCAGTAAAGTGCTTGCTGCACAAGCATAAGGATCTGAATTTTACCCCCATCATCCACATTATATCTAAAAAACAACCAAGTGTGGTACTTCTGTAATCATAGCACTAGAGAGGCAGAGGTGGGAGAATCTTCAGGGTTTCCTGGTCAGCTAGTCTAGCCAAATTGGCAAGATCCAAGTTCAGTGAGACCCTGTTTCAATAAATAAAAGACATCCAACATCAACCTCTAGCCTCCACATAACACACTCATGTGTATGTGCACCAAACACACTCGTACACACAACAAAAAATAAATTATGTAAGTGTAAGTCAAAACCTGCTTCATTAAACTTTGTTCTGTACTTTGCAAACTGAGGTCTAGAAGGCTTTCTACTTTGGGATACATGAAGTTCCAAATATGCTTCTAGAGGTGTGACCTCTTTGTGGCTCAAGTCTTAGGTGACACTGTGCTTACTGTACATTAAAGAACGGAGGACAGGTTGGGTGTGCTGGTGCCCTGTTTTAGTCCCAGCATTTGGGAGGCAGAGGCAAGCAGGTCTCTGTGAGGCCAGCCTGGTCTACATAGCCGAGTGTCAGGTCAGCTGGGGCTACAGGGAGATGCTGCCTCAAAAAATACACCTACCCCCAAAAGGAACTGAAGACAGGGTGCTTGCTGCTCTTGCAGAGGACCAGAGTTTGCTCACCAGCTTATAATAGCTGTAACTGCAGCTCCAGGAGATCTGATTCCCTATTCTGGCTTCTGAAGGCTTGCATGCATATGCACACATACAAAATCTTTTTAAAAAATGAGGAGAGTTACTAGTATCTTAAAAGTAAGATACTACGGTGGGTATGGTGGTATAAACTTGTAATCCCAGAACTTGGGAGGTAAAGCAGGATGGCTGTGAGTTCAAGGCCAGTCTGGGCTTCAAAGCCCAAAGGGCTTAGGGTAGATATTAGTACAGGAGGCCTACTATAATAATATCTTGCTACTATCTTTTTCAATAAAAGACCAATTTCCTAAAATATGAAAGCAAGGAAACCCTAAAACTCATACCTAACAAAACTGTCAACAGACTCCAGTTT